AAAATTTTTTTCAAGCATACAAATTTTGGGCAGCACAGTTTTGGGCGGCTTGTGGGCGTTAGAGTGGGCGTGGCATATTCGCGTGACAAAGTTGCGCTGCGTACAAAGTTTCGAAATCTAAGCCTAAAATGTTTCTACCTGATAATTTCCGAGATATCCGTGTCCATATCTACGATTTTTTTAAGTTTTTGGGCGGTTTGTGGCCATTAGAGTGGGCGTGGAAAATGTTTTTGGATCAATCGATTGGTATTGATGAGAACGTAAATTGAGCTAAAATTTTTATTCTAGCCATAAAACTGTAGGAGCCACAGTTTTAGGCGGTTTGTGGGCGTTAGAGTAGAAACAAACTTGCGCAGGGATCTTTAGTATCTGCATTCCAAATCTCAGTATTGCAGCTTTTATAGTTATCGAGATCGTCATCCGATTTGCAGACCATTGCAGAGGCTATAATGATTTTAGTCAGATGTTTGCAACGCAGTGAAGGTGACGTTTCCGACCCCATAAAGTAGGGGAGTGTAGGGTAAGGAGACGAGTAGTGTAAGGCAACGAACTCGTCAAATCTCTTATGTGAACTCACGTCGAAAATCCCAAATAATTGTATTCGATTTCTCTTGTTGTGCCGACAATGTGTGTAAAATAATATTACTAAGAGTTTGCGTAAGGTCTATGTAAGATAGTTTTTACAAAAAAGTGGAGCAAAAATTTAAAAAGCTTTTCAATTTATTTGTATTTCAGCAGTGCCAGAGCAAAGATTTGTGTGAAGCAAGTCAGATAAATATAAAATTATTAAGATATATATTGTTGAACGTTGATGCACTAAGAGCAAAACAAACAAGTGGCCCAAACGACACCAAGCTCGTGCTTGTTACGCTCGGGCCCATTTTTATTTCAGGCAAATATGGTTCGCGAGGAAGGTACGTAGAACAAATAGAGACAGGACAAAACATTGATCAACAAGACTAAAGCAAATGAGCTAAGAATTTAATTTTTAATACAGGAATAGAAGTTGAGGAACAAATTAAATGATATAGGGTTCTATAATTATTAGAAAGAACTCGAAAGGGCTCGTGCTGACTAAAATTAGATGAAAATCGTGCAAGTTGATAGAATAGTAGTTAGTTAACATTAAAAGTTAGACGGCTTACCAAATCTACAGAATCAGTATCGCCTATGATAAGATTATTCATAAAAATAGTACCAAGCATAGTTCTGTACAGACTCTATACGGTCAATGTGCACGGACAAGGGAGGTAAATAATAATTTGGTAGTGTATGGATCATCAAATTCTTTAGACCAACGATTTATAAACCGAAGAACACTCATAGCTTTATTTACGGTAGAGGTTATGTGGGAGTCAAATTTAAGTTTAGGATCGAGTAGAACACCAAAATCGTTTAAAGAGTACGAGTATATTCGGTCCAGGGACATGTTCTGAAAAGAGTAAATCTTGAACGTTGGCGAACCCCTATAAAAATCCATAACGCTGCACTTAAGATAGTTTAAATTCAAAGGGTTGTACTGACACCATTCCTGGAATCTATTAATGTCTGACTGCAAGCAGAAACCAGACTCAATATTATTATATGATAAACAAAGCTTAACATCATCAGCATACATTAGTACATGAGAGTGAGTTACTATAGAGGGAAGATAGTTTATAAACAGAGTAAACAGTAAAGGGCTTACTGACTGCCCTGAGGCACTCCAGATATCACGTTGATCATCTTGGAAACAGCGTTTTTGAATAAAACCCTCTTAGATCTACCATTCAAATAACTTGAAATCCAAGCTAACAGATTATTCGAAAACGCGAGCTGATCTAATTTGAATAAAAGAAGAGAGTGGTTTACAGAGTCAAAGGCTTTACAAAAATCTGTATATATAACGTCTGTATGAATTTTTTTGTTAAATCCATCTATTACAAAAGATGTCAATTCGAGCAGGTAAGTGGTGGTCGATCTTCGCTTAACAAAACCATGTTGACACGGAGATATCAAAGAGGAGCACAAACGATGCAAATGAGAGGTAATAATGCGTTCAAATGTTTTAGGAATTGCAGACCATTTGGAGATTCCTCTACAGTTCTGAACATTCACCTTCGCACCCGTTTTGTGGGGTGGAATAATAAAATAATCTTTCCAGATAGTAGGAAAAACAGATGATGAGATAGCCAAATTAAAAAAATTAAGAATGGGCTTACAAATAGTTCGGGCACTAAACTTTTGCACACACCCTGGGGGTCCATCTGGCCCCGAGGAATAGGTTGGCGTTATAGTTTCTAAACCACTAAGTAGAGTACTTTCGGTGATTACAGGAGAAACAAGGAAGAACGCTGTAGTCGAGTACCTCGACTATCGGATAGCCGTTACTCAGCTAAAGGGACGAAAGGGAAATGGAGATATGCAAGCAGCAAAGCGAGATTGAAATGCGCCACCTACCGACGGTAGACGGATTTAAGTGTTATGGGCGTTAGAGTGGGCGTGGAAAATTTTATTTGGTTTAATCGATAGGTATTGAAAAGACCAATACATTTCAGTTCAAATTTTGTGAAATGAAAATTGTGGGCGCCACAGGCTTGTGGGCGGCTTGTGGGCGGCTTGTGGGCGTTAGAGTGGGGGCGGTATATTCACGTAACAATTTTGCGCTGCGTTCAAGGCTACAGAATCTAAATTTGAGATCTCCATTCTCTATCTTTGATAGTTTCCGAGATATCGACGTTCATATTTACGATTTTTTGAAGTTTGTGGGCGGTTTGTGGGTTAATCAATAGGTACTGATGGGGACAATTCATTTAAGTTACAATTTTTATTCCGGCATCAAAATTGTAGGAGCCATAGTTTTCGACGGACATGGCTAGATCGACTCGGCTGGAGATCCTGATCAAATATATATATACTTTATAGGGTCGGAAACGCTTCTTTCTGCCTGTTACATACTTTCCGACGAATCTACTGTAACGAACTGATTTTTATGGTCTGCTCGCTACGAGATTCGTGCGGCTAGCTCAGTATATTGTGTGTTCGTCCCACCAAATGTATATTAACGTGACCGCCCAGTAGCTCAGTGAGAAAGCATAGAATTCACGGGTTCGTATTGGGTTTTATTGCGGGTATATTATTACAAGTGTCTTAGTCGCTTGGTTGGCCTTGACTCGTTGCTTGTGACCCTCGGTGCTTCCGACGGCCCTGATTGACTCGACGACCTCTCGCCTTGACGACTCGGTGCTCCAGTCCTGTAGCTCCCTGAAGATACTCGCAGCTCCCTGAAGATCCTCGCCGCTCCCTGAAGATCCTCGCAGCTCCCTGAAGACGCTCGCTCGCTGCTCACTTGTCACGCGTGACTTGGTGACTGCTGGTAACGACTCGGAATCGCGAGGGGTATCGGCCGTACGGGCTTAGGGAAGCGTCACCGTTCTCAGACTAGGGTGAACAGAAGCTGCGCTCTCCAGGATCGCTCCTTTCGACACTCCGCCTGTCCCTTGCTCTGTCCCGGATGGTCCCACTGGGTTTCTGCTCAGCCCGCGCGGACAGTCAAGGCGGAACGCCAGGAAGCTGCCTCGCGCCTTACTTCGCTTCCACGCCTAGTGTAAACGAACGTTCCACCCTAGCCTCACCCTTTTGCCTTTTGTCCGGGACGTTTCCGTGTGGCTTTTGGTACTCGGGGTTCGGGCACGCCGCTCCGGGACCCCGCAAGTCGAATCCGTAGGGCTCTCCTGGATAATTCCACTCGAGACCGTACCGATCGACCGCTCTCCCTTCTGGCTTGTTATACTCGTGGTTCGGGCACGCCGCTCCGGGACCTCGCAAGTCGAATCCGTAGGGCTCTCCTGGACAATTCCACTCAAGCCCTTACCGATCGACCGCTCTCCCTTCTGGCTTGTTATACTCTTTCCAGGCGTAACGCCAGGACTTTGTGGACAGGGTTAATTGACCGCCTTGACCTAGCCGTGTGATGCCCTCTGGATCTCAGCTACCTGCGTCTCAATTCGGAGATTCCTGGTATCCCAATCCCGAACGTCTCGACGTAGCAATCTCGCTCCTTGTAGGCTCCCACGGCGCTGCTTCTCTGGCGACTCGACTTGCTGCTGCTCCCTTGTAGATTATCTGGTTGTTTGATTGTTCACTTTGGTATCTGAGTGATCTTGACGGTTTGACTCCTTGTGATCGACTGATCCAGCTGCCAGCGCTCTGCGGCCTTATATAGGGCCTCCGGGTACCGTTATTTCTCTTTTGCGCACGGCCCGCTGGATCTCTCCGCTCTGGGTCCAAAGTCCGTGCCTCCTGGATGACCCACTTGTCGTTCCCGTACCGCTTCCAATCGATGCTCCGCCCACTGCTGCCATCCCGCTGATTCCCATGATGCTTGTGGCACGCCTGTGTACCGCTCCACCGCCGAGATGTGGCACTTCCTCTCCCGGTCCAAAGTTCACGGGAGAGTCCAAAGTCCGGTGGAGTCCCGTTACCCCCTTTTGCATACGGCACTCTTGCTCTGCCCGCGAAGTCTCCATTCTCTCTCGATCTCCATCCTTGGTCTCCAATCTCTCTCGCTCTCCTTCATTGGTCTCCAAACACTCTCGCTCTCCTTCGTTGGTCTCCGAACTCTCTCGATCTCCACCCTTGGTCTCCAAACTCTCTCGTTCTCCTCGCCGCGCCGTTACTACGCGAATTCGCCGCGTATCTGGTAAGCGGCCGGCCATCTGCTGCTGCTTCTATTTGTGGGGAGTTATTCAACTCCTCACATTCCCCCCTTACTTCGGGAAACATTTAAGACTGGTTCCTACTCTCCGGCGTTTCCTTGCTTATCCTAGCCTTTGAGTCCTTGTGATTTCCGCGGCGCTCCCTCATTGCTCTCTCGATGCTCCCTCGACGCTCTTAACTCCCTTGAGTTTCTACAGCGGGGTCATCCTCCTCGTAGCAACTTTAAATCTCCCGCGCCGATATCTTTCCTGACTCCACTGGGACATCGATACTCGTGTGCTATCGATCCCCAGCTCGCTGCTCATCGCTGCGTTCTACTCCTTTTATTTGCTTCCTCCGCCTGGTCACACCATTCGTGTGTGATCGATGTGCGATATCGATATCGACGGTGCGGCGTTGCCACCTGCTCGTTGCGATATTTCCACCTTTGGCCGATATTACCATTTGACGTGTACCCACCGATCGCACTTTCATCTAGTGCCAATCGATCGCCTATCGAGGCGCCCCCTTCCCTGGCTCATGGTGATTTTGCAACTTTCTAGGTAAGTTTTCGCATTTCCTCACTCCTTTCTATTTCATCCTTTCTCTCTCCACATGACCTCTCTCGCCTCTCGTCTCTCTCTCTCGCCCTTCAATTGTCCTCAGCCGGCTGAGCCTGGCTTTACGCTGACAACACTCGAACGCTGGTGCGGAGAGGACTTCGCATTTGCTTCGCTGCAGGTAAGTATTTTGGTGTCGCTTGGCTGCTTCCTGTATTAACCCAATATTGATTTCAGGACGCTGGAGCTGCCATGTATGCCCCTTACTTCTGGCCCCTGTTTCAGCCGCGTTTCCCGTTCTATGCCGGTTTTTTTTTTTTAAACTCTGTTTTTCGTTTCATTTAACTTTTATTTCTGCTCCTCGAACACTCTCATGCCCGCCAGCCCCTCTCTCCATACGCGCACGCTGCGCCTGCCGCCCAGGATGCGAGCCTCCTGTACCACCGGTGCCTCCGCGATCCCTTCGGGCCACTCCGGCTCCGCGATCTCTCGCCATCGCTGGCCCTCCGGCGCCGACACCGTCCGCGACAACTTCGGCCGGGCCACCACCTCGGACACTTCGGGCGCCGAGTGCTGCAGCTTGAGCGGAGGACGGCCGTTTTCCACGGGCTCAGGCCACACCCAGGGTCCTCGCTCCAGAGGCTCCGCTGTTACTGCGCTCCCGGTAGGCGTTGGCGTCGATGGCCCTGTCCTTGGCGTCGTTGGTCCGGTGCTCGGCGTCGGTGGTGCCCACCGCTCCGGTCTGCCACGGGTCCTGGGGTCCAGCGGGCTCACCCGGGGACCACATTCTTCCCAGATCCGGGGTTCTTCCGTCGCTGCCGTCTCCTCCGCGGGTCCCTCCGGCCAGGTCCAGACAACCGTCTGCTGTCGCCACCTTACCCCTTCGGCCACGAACGTCCGGGTGCTGTGGCTCACGTGAGTTACGTATAACCCCACTTCACTTCCCACATATGTCCAAAACCCAATTTTTTCTTCCACCTCTTAATAATAAAGTACAAGAATTGCTTAACTCATTAAATGCTAAATAAACAATATATTAAAGTAATACAGCAAACAGGAAATGCACAGGTTAACGATCTGGCACATGCCAACCAAAATAAGTTCTAGGAAAATATAAAATCCAAATAAGCAATATAACACAGTAAACAGGAAATGCATAGTTCATCGATCGTTATTAAATTCAGGCTAACTAGAGGTCAACGATCTTACACATGTCGACCAGAATAATTCGTAAGAAAACCTAATAAGCACTTCTGTAAACCTAAATTAAGTTTTCTTTAAAACATTATCAATAAAGAATATTCAGTTGATTTTTGCCCACCAAACCCGCTTGACGTGTTTTACTTACAAATAATTTATTTTTTTAAAAACTTCGCAACTCCTTAAACAAAATTGGCGCAGCCGGTAGGATCCTTTTTAATTGAAGAGGGTCCAGTGATTATTCAAATCGAACTTAACGTGAAGAAAAAAAAATATAACAAAAATTTTTTGTGATAAATAAAAAATACAAAAAGTCAGCGAACAGAAGCGAACTAAAAATCAGTCCGCTAAGTGAACGTGGTGCAGTACATAGAAAAGTGCATTGATCAAAGCAAAACCAGACCAAGCAGCGCAACAGCATTAAATCCAACTAAAAATCAGTGGATTAATGCCTGTAGAGATCGAACGAAAATCGACTTAGACAGCGCTAAGAAGGAAATCAACTCAACCTGGATATAAGAAGGCAGCGAAGGATCGCTTTATACGACAATAGCAGGATGGCTCACGATAACGGCCAGATGCCCCAAGCGGATCTTTTGGAACAATTGGCCATAAGGGAAAGACAGCTGGAGCAACTGCAACAAGCGTATGTACAGCTCCAAGGAATTGGAAACAACCCAGCCCAACAAGAGCGGTTGTTCAAAAACATCAATCGTTTGGCAACCTTTACGGGAACCGGGGAAATCTCCATCAACTCCATCTTCAGTAGCGTGGAGTACCTGTTACAGACGGTAGAGGACCCACAACTCAAGAGAGAAGCCACAAGGACAATATTCTACAGGACAATTCAGGGTCAAGCAAAGGATGCAGTAATAAATATCCCGGAGCCGGACAACTGGGACCTGATAAAAGCCACCTTGAAGTTAAGGTACAGACCAGACACGGAGCCGCACCAAATCTACAAGAGGATATGTTACCTGAGAGTGAATTCGGTGAGCGAGCTTGCAGTAGAAATTCAAAATATAAAATATAAAAATGATGAATTAATTGTGTATCATATACATGATAATTTTATAGATTTAAGTAATGTCGAAAGTTTATTAGTTAACACAGCCAAAGAAATGACACAAGACACTTTATTAGACAAGGTCTACGAAGTCAGAGATTTAAGCACTATATTATAGATAATGATGCAACGCAGATATGAGAATAGTTGCATTAGGTATCAGTATAGGAAAGGTAGACCTAATCAAAACAATTACAGGAACAACAACCAGAATACCAATCAACAATATAATCAGCAAAACAATACAATGCAAAATGCACATCAAAATAAGAATACCAATCAACAATATAATCAGCAAAACAATACAATGCAAAATGTACATCAAAATTATCAGAGCAACAATTCAGGACAAGTTAGACAGAACAATACCCCTCAGAATTTTAGAGGCAATAACTCCGGACAAAGTAGACGATATCAAAATAATCAGTGGAATCAACAAGCAGGATCACATCAGTCTAGGCAAAATAGGCCAGCGAATGTGGTACCTATGAAGGTAGATAACATAGAAGCCAACCAACACCAAAACCATACCGACCAAAGCAGATACGAAAATGACAACTACAACAGTGACCATAACTCGAACAGTAAACACGACAATAATCAAATGGAAAACTATCCACAGGCAGAATTTAATAATACGGTTTTTTTTACGAAGCCGCCTCGGATGGGTTACCACTAACAGAACTTAACATAGACAAACAGAAATACGTGCCTTAATAGACACAGGAGCCACCTTGAGTTTAGTTAGCGACCAGATTAACGGTTACAGAAAAATGAGACTAAATACGTCCATACCATACACTACAATTAACAGCAAAGACGTAATAGCGTACGAAATTCATACCACAGCCCCAAAAGAATTTAACTTCCAAATAACGCAAGAGTACGATGGAAATTAGCCCCGCTTAAGGGAAGAAAATACAATTTTATCATAGGGATAGACCTCCTAAATTTTTTGAATGCATTTATAAACATTGAGAGGAAGGTTTTAATTTTAAATCAAAAAGAAAAAGTAATTATAAACAATCCATATCAATACGAAGAAGTTTCTGTATTAGAAAGTAGCAGTAAAAACTTAGAGAATTTGAAACTCGACCACTTAAATGAAGAAGAAGTCAGAGAAATTAAAGTCATTGTACAATGATTTAGCAAACTTTTTTTTAAGGAGGGAGACCAACTAACTAGTACGACAGAAATTGAACACGAAATACGGACCAATACAGAGGAACAGTTAAACTCAAAACTTTATAGATACCCACCACAACACGAGGAAGAAGTTAGGAAACAAATAAAAGAAATGGAAGAACAGGGTATAATTAGAAAGAGTAATTCAAGATGCTCTAGCCCACTTATAGTAATCCCGAAGAAGATCGACAACTCAGGAAAGAAAAAGTTTAGGATAGTAATAGACTACAGGAAGTTAAATGAAATAGCCATAGACGACAAATTTCCGATTCCGAACATTAATTATATTTTGGATAAACTAAGAAGAGCTCAATACATCACTACAATAGATTTAGCCAAAGGCTACCATCAGATCTTCGTCCGAGAATCAGACAGAAAAAAAACGGCATTCGTAACGCCACATGGACTATATGAGTTTATAAGAATGCCATTTGGGTTGAAAAATGCCCCTGCCACATTCCAAAGACTTATGAATGAAATACTTAGGGAACACATTAACAAAAAATGCGTCGTGTATCTAGACGATATACTTATTTTCAGCACCTCATTAAAAGAACATATTCAAGCTATTAACGAAATATTCCAAATATTAGAAAAGAAAAATTTAAAAATACAGATTGACAAGTGTAACTTCATGAAAAAGGAAACTGAATTTCTAGGACATATCCTTACAAAAGAGGGCATTAAGCCAAATCCAAATAAGATCGCAATCATAGAAAAATTACTGTTACCACGAACAGAGAAGCAAATAAAAAGCTTCTTAGGTATAACAGGTTATTACAGAAAATTTATAAAAGATTATGCTAAAAGAGCACAGCCAATAACCAAGTATTTGAAAAAAAATGTTAAAATAAATCTAAAAGACCCCACCTATGTCGAAGCATTTGAAAAATTAAAACATTTAATCAGTTCTCACCCAATTTTAAGATATCCCAATTTTAAAAAAAAAAATTTACATTAACTACAGATGCATCAAAATATGCAATTGGATCTGTCCTATCTCAAGACGGTCATCCAATCTGCTTTGCATCAAGAACGCTAAACAATCATGACAAAAATTACTCAGCAACAGACAAAGAATTCCTACACTGGTAGAAAAAACATCGTAAATGTCACTATTTCGCCAACGTTTCAACTATTTTTCCCAGCGGTTTAGAACTTAACATGAAAATCGTAAAAACGAAAACGTTAAATAGTTAATTATTTTTTGAATAATCTCGTAGTAAGTTCAACGATTTTTTAATTTCGATTAAATATGTTAAAATAGTACAAAATAATTAAATTAAATATGTTCCATAGTAAAAAGTATTATATTTTTATATTTATTTTAAATATGTTCATATATAGTTTCAGTAAATAGAATATTTCATTTGAATGGTTTTTATAGTTAAAATAATTATAGCCCGCCCTCAAACTCAGCACATTTTTATTTGGATTAAATAATTCTCATATTTAAATCAGACTGGGATGAACTTTAATATAAATACAAATTGTATTTAAATTAAATATAGTCCCCGTTAAAAGAATTGTACTTTATGTTTGATTTAAATATAGTATTTAAGCCATACTAATATGGTGCATATTCAATAGAAACCAATCTGTAGTTTAAAACAAGCGTGATTTATATTTAATAAAGACCCAAATAAGTATGTGTTTTTATTGAAAATAAACGTAAACATATAATCAAACAATTGTTCTGCTTAAACTCTATTTTTACCATGCTAACACGTTATCATTACTTTTGTTTTAAATACATTTGTACTTAACGTAACTCTTAGAATTTATATGACACATATATACATATACATATTATACATTATTATACATATTATACATTATTATACATATTTTTTATAATCACACATTTTTTTGTTTTGCCACGTTCGTACGCCTGCATGTGCGTACAAAACTTTCCTGCGAGTCATAGTAGTGATAATTTCTTTCGCTTGTTGGTTCCTTTAATGACGGTCCACGAATTATTTAAGATGACAGATGTGAGCAATACGGTGTAAATTTAGTCCTTGTAATCTGTGAATAAGAATATGTTATTAGATTTTTGGTAATGGCATAATTTAGAAAAAGTCAAGCTTATCATAAAAAGATAAAATTTATAAATTTAAAAAAAATTATACATTACCAAGTGATACAGTTTTCTGAACTGTCTTTAATAGTTTAAGTTGCTTTTTGTTTTGCATTTGCTCTTCGTAAAAGCAAAAAACCTTTTCCTTAAATGGGTCCCATATATCAAATTGCTTCTTTCTCAGGGTACAATATGTTGGAATAAATTTGTATCTATAAAGAAAAAGTTAATAATTTTATAATAAGTTTCGAGTAGGTGTTTTTATATAAAGGGATTTAAATAAGACAAAAATATTGTTTAAATTTATTTCGTTTTTATTTTTTTTAAATATCAAAATTAGTTAGATTTAAAGAAAAATCACGTGAAAGAACCAAAAAATATTATAAAAAAATAGATGAAACGACTGCGACGCCACAGAACCGAATGCAACGGCAGCAAAGCGTCTTTTTTGCGCCTTTTTAGTGTTTTCCATCTCGTGCATTCTACTCCTTTTAATTTCCTTTCATATTCTTCATTTCTTTCGCGTATTTTTTATCCACTTCATGTTTATTACCCAATCGCATATATTTTATTGTTTTTAAATGTAATTTTCTTTTGAGCTTTGTTTATTTCGTTAAATGTATTATCTAAATTTTCACGAAATAATAACGCGCACAACAAAGAAGAAACTCAAAAAGGAAAAATGCGACAAAAAAAAAGTGGACATGCACATGCCTTAATACTAAGTAATTATTGTATTTTTATTTGACTCACCTTTTTTCTATACTTTTCACTTTTTTATTACACTTAAATGAACACTTGTCTACCGAGCTCTATTAATCACTTTTACATCCGATCAGGAGAACCGCTTGCAGTACCATTCAGCGCTTATTGAGCACTCAATCACTGCAAAAAGTTCATCACTCAGCGCTCAATGAGCGCACAATTTGTATGGAGCTATGTGATGAAATTAACATAGGCATGTCCTAGGGTTCATCAGTGCTCAAAAAATAGCACTCATTGAGCGCTTTTTTGAGCACCCTCTTGAGCGCTCGATTGAGCAGCTGAAAAAGCACACGTTCAGCACATGTTGAGCGCTCGATTGAGCAGCTGAAAAAGCACACGTTCAGCACATGTTGAGCGCTCGATTGAGCAGCTGAAAAAGCACACGTTCAGCACATGTTGAGCGCTCGATTGAGCAGCGATAAAAGCACACATTCAGCACACGTTGAGCGCTCATTCAAGCAGCGAAAAAGCGCACTTTCAGCGCACGTTGAGCGCTTAGCAGCAAAAAAAATTTCAGTTGTAATTTTTATTTTTATTTGTTTATTTTAAAAATTGCGCTCGGGGGTTTCCGGTGTTATCGGGGTCGCTGACACCTCCTCCTCAGCATCTGGTTTTTAACGCACCGCATTGCCTTCTGCAGCGCCTTTTCGGGAGGCTCCGAGGGATCGACCAGGGCGATTGCATATAGTATTAGAAAAAAATTAGTTTTAAAAATAAAACAAGACGAGAATAAAAACGAGTGACCGAAAGTAATCGTTATTTGTAAGATTTATTTATAATAAAAGAAATGTTATCTTTGGCATTCAATGTAAAAATCCCAGAAGTCTTTTAAAAATTAAACTTACAAACAATAGTTACTTTCAGCCTCAATAAAAACTTACTTAATAAGTAAGTTGTGGGACAGAACAAGTTCCTCGGATAATATGCTTAAGATGGAACGATTTAGCCTTCCATTTTTTTATAGATTTACCTTCAGCCTTGTCTAAAAATATAAGAAAATGCAAAAAATATCGAGAAGAAATTAGCAAACTTTTGTTTTCGGTCACTTGATTTATTTTATTTTGTTGTAAAAAATTATTACGAAAAATAAACCACACATTATTTATGTATTTTATATTATTTATTAAAACATTTATTTATTTTGCAGTTGCGGAAAAAAAATAACACTTTTCCAGGAACTGAAAATTGGAGATGTTTGAGATTTTTATTTAAATACGTACACAAAAGTAAGAATGGTTGTTAAATGTTATTAATATTCATTTTTATCGAATTTTAACCACAAATATAAGTTTTAAGAACAAACATCTCTTATTTTTTGTCCCTAGAAACTTTGCACTCATTAAGATTTTTAAATTCTTTCACAGATTTGTTTATTACATATATGCACCATTTGTTGCTTTTCACGTCAAAAATTAATATTTTTCACAGCTATTTTTTTTCCGCCACGTGCTATTTTGGGAATCTTGTATTTCCCTTATTTTAAATATAGATTATCTTGTTTTTTACTCTCACTGTTTTCAATATTATTAGTCTGCGACAGACTTACCTGGGAATCGTTTCTTTTTCACTTTTAAGGCACTAATTTAATTTAATTTAGTAAATTGCTGGTATGTTTGCTTCAACTTCTAACTCCTTCACTAAAGTAAACGCAAGTGAAAAGACGAAAAAAGGCGCGTGCCTTCCAGAAAAACAACAAGCAACAACAACAAAGGTTCCGCTAAGCCGTTGTTGTTTTTTTTGCATGTCCCGTTTGGTCTATGCATCTTGCACATAAAAGCAGGGTATTTATAGACATATTCGACTATGCAAATCGGTTTATAAAAATATACTTTTAAAACTTTACATATTATTAAATTATATTAATAAACATATAAATTTGTTTAAGAAATACAAATATTTTAAAACAGAAACCTATTATTTTAAATCGTTGTTTTAACATTTACGAACAAATGTCGCATTATTCAAAAGGCAAGGGTGCACAAAGGTCTATATATTTTAGTTGCTGGGCCTCCTTCCCTTCACGCGCACTTTTTCGTCTGAGACTTGACGAGAGAGGGAGAGCCCAAAATTACTTTTTTGTGCGTTCTCTTTGCGGACCCGACTGAGAGCGCGTCGCTTTGCCGCCGTTGCGCTCAGCTCTGCCGGCATCGCTGGCTTCTCTGCCGACGTCGCAGTCGGCTTCGTGATGATTGGGCGCCTAACTCAATTTTGGAACTGCAGGGTTGGAACTGCAGGGCATACATACATATGCATGTGTGCAAAAAGGACGCACAAAATCTGTAGCGTGCCGTTACTTTACAATAGAGGTCAAAGTAATGGGGAAGAAAATAAGAAAATATGTACAAATAAGTCCTTAAGTTTAATAACTTGTATATGTCAATTTAGTATTATTTATTTTATTTTATTATATTTATATATTATAAGAACATATCTTATTGTTAAAACATCGGTACACAAGAAATATTTATGGCTTCTTGGCCACCAATGTACAAATGCGAATGGAAGAAGAAGACGCGCTTGCGTTTGCCGTTTTGCTTGTTCATATTTGTCTCTAATTTGTCTGAATGTATGTAAGTATGCACATTGTGCCGTTGGTTTTAGTTTTTCGTTACGGCCCAGCGTTAACAATGCACGCACATTTTTTCTTTGGCTAAGCATGTTTTTGTACTTTTAATAGTAAATTACAAAGCCAAATCTTATGATAATTGTCATGGAAATAGAAAGAGGCTGCCGGTGGTTGGGCAGCCGTAACTAAAACCCTTTTCTTTAAATATTATTTTATTATTTATTTTTATATTATATTATATATTATTTATTATTTTATTTTTATATATTATTCTTTTGAAAATTACTAATAATTTAAATTATGTTGTGTATATGGGTCACAAACTTAATACATATACATACCTATGTAATTTGATTTATAATTTACAATTATTTGGTCAAATACAAATTTTGAAAACGTTCTATATTCAAAATAAAAGAGTAAATATTCCGAACAAATTGAAAAAGTATTTACTTGAAATATAAAAAACCATCAAATATACTATGAATTTAACTACTTTTTGTAATAGTTAAAAACCAAGATGGCCACATTGGATTTGAAAGTGACTAACTTGTTTTTAAATAAAAATCACTTTGAATTGAATACTTACATATTTGACATACGGCTTAAATATGTTTTTTATTTAAATGAAATGTTTTAATATTTAATATGACTATGCATGGGAGTAAAAAAAATTAAATAAAAATATATTTGATTTCACTTCGTGTTTTTTCTACCAGTGTAGCAATACTATGGAGCGTCAATTATTTCAGACCATACCTTTACGGGAATAAATTCAAAATATTAACTGACCACCAGCCAATAAAATTCTTACACTCAAAACATAAAGGTAAAGATATTTCACCCAGACACCAGAGATGGTTATTAAAATTAGGAGAATATCAATTTGAGATAGATTACTTGAAAGGAAAAGAGAACAGAGTGGCAGATTTTCTTAGCAGACTGGAAGACAGCGACCTCACGAACAAAACCGAAAACGAAAGAGACAATGAATACAAAGATAATATTTCAGACATAAACATGATAGCAAACATTGAAGATAATCTCTCAACATCAACAGTACACTCAGCCGAAGAAAATTTACACAATCATTTTTATATAAAAGAGGAAATAGTTAACAAATATAAAACACACATAATTATTACAGACAGTAAAACAGACGAGTATAAAACAATACATGGAAAATCAATAATATTTATAGCAAAACATGACTTTCCAACAATGGGAGATATTTTCAGGAAATATATACACAAAGGAAAAGTCGGAATCCATTCAGAATTACCGTATCAAGAGTATAACATAGTACAAGAAAAACTAATAGAAATGTTTTCAGACAACAAACAATTAGAATTCATAAAATGCACACTCAGAGCTCAAGATATTGAACATGAAACAGAAGCAGTAAGACAAATTTCGTTTTATCATGTAAGAGAAAGTATGCACTCAGGAATTCAGGAAACATATAACCAATTGAAAAACAAGATTTACTTTCCAAAATTGTTAGAGTTGGTGCAAATGGTTATAAATCAATGCGATTTTTGCAAAGAAATAAAATATGATAGAAATCCTATTAAAAATAAATTCAGTAAAACGGAAACCCCATCAGATAAAAATCAGATAATACACTTGGATACATATGTAATAAAAAATACACATTTTTTAACGACCATAGATAAATTTTCAAAGTTCGCAGCAGTGTACCCATTAAATGATAGAAATCATATCACTATAGTAGAACAATTGGAGGAACATTTTACGAAAATAGGCAAACCAGGTAAAATAATAGCTGATAACGACTTTGATTCATTCAGGATTAAAGAACTACTAAGACAAGAAGGGATAGAATTACACTTAACAAAACCGAATAGTCACACTGGCAATTCAGATGTAGAAAGACTACACAATTCACTAGCAGAAAAGTTTAGAATAACATATAAAACGGAAGCGTAGAATATGTCAGTAAAACAAATTATGCAGAGAGCAGTGAGAAATTACAATGAAAGATATCACTCCACAATCAAATGTACCCCCAGCGAAGCCCACAACAATAAGATAGAATTGACAAAAATAAAAGAAAATTAGGATAGCGCTAAACAAAAAATGTTAGAAAAGCACAACGGCAACAGGGAGCATTATGAAGAAAAACGAGAAGAGGGTTTTATAAAGAACTACAAGGCAGTCAGACACAAAGAAGCTCCGAAATTCAAAAAAGCAAATCTCGGTAATATTGACCCAATAAATATTAAACGCCCTTTTAAATTTACAGAAAATACTAACGACGACTATGTTGCTGACGACAATACTAATGACAATGGCAATAACAACAACAGCGGGAACACTAACGATTCAAGAAATACCTGATCAGGACGGGTATGCGCAAATAGAGATGAAAAATCAAGATATAATTATCACAACAGATATAGTAGTACATATAATAAACTTAAAAGATATTGACAATATTTTCAACGAAATAGGAAAAAACATAGAAATGACAAACAATGACAACAAACACATATTACAATCGGAACTAACTGACACAAAAAACAAATTGTATACCCTATATGGAAACCACAATCGCGAAAGAAGAGGATTAATTAATGTAGTAGGTAGTTCAGCAAAATGGTTGTTTGGAACAATGGACGATGAAGACAGGAAAGAAGTTGAGAATCATATCTCTACATTTAAAGAAAACATGCAGGAAACAGATGAAGCATTAAACAAGCAAATTTACATAAATACGTATTTCAATGATACAATAAAATACATTGAACAAATAGTTAAATCAGATAGAGAGGCAATAGAGAGACAATTGAATGCAATTAGCAAATTCGAAAATAACAGATACCAACCAAAATAACAGATACGACCAACAGATAAAAATTCAGTTAATAAAAAATAAGATTGAACATTTGCAGGATAACGTTGCTTCTGCTAGATACAATATATTACATCCCAGCATATTAACAGATCACGAAATAAAAAAATACAACAAACTAAACCATATAAAGTTAGCTACGGCTATGTTCAGAAATAATCTTTTAGTATTCGCAATAGAAATACCAAAAAACTTTATAACAGTAAAAATACAACAGATAATACCGATGCCTAATGAAGATAACTTTGAAATAGATCAGGAATCAGAACTGATATTTAACTATAAAAATTCAACATACACCTATAAAACAAATAAAAAATTAAAAGAAATGCGAAAAAGTAAACATTGTGTATTTAAGAAAAATTGCAAACTGATACAAAGAAATGAAATGCAAATATTAGAACAAGACGAAGAAACCGTAGTAATTAAGAATGCTAAAAATGAAACATTATATCAAAATTGTAACAGCAATGAAATTAAAATGAAAAAAATATTCTAATACACTTTACAAATTGTACAATAGGTATAGAAAATAATTATTTTACAAATTCATACGAATTAGATAAGAAAAGAATTTTATATGAGAAATCAAACCAAACTCAAAATTTTACTAAACAAATCACTTTTGAGAAAATATTGGAAAACAAGGGAGAACGCTATAGTCGAGTACCTCGACTATCAGATACCCGTTACTCAGCTAAATGGAGATATGCAAGCAGCAAAGCGAGATTAAAATGCGCCACCTACCGGCGGTATACAGATTTAAACGTTATGGGCGTTAGAGTGGGCGTGGCAAATTTTTTTTTGGATCAATCGATAGGTATTGACGAGACCAATACATTTCAATTAAAAGTTTTGATCTAGCATGAAAATTGTGGGCGTCACAGGGTTTTGCGGTTTGTGGGCGTTAAAGTGGGCGTGGCAAACTTTTTTTTTGGTCAATCGATAGGTATTGATGAGAGCATTACATTTCAGTTAAAATTTTCTATCTAGCATCAAAACTGTAGGAGCCACAGTTTTGGGCGGTTTGTGGGCGTTAGAGTGGGCGTGGCAGTCTACTGAAACAAACTTGCGCTGCGTAGGAAGCTCAGGAATCTGCACGCCAAATCTCAATAGCCTAGCTCCCATAGTTTCCGAGATCTCAGCGTTCAACCGGACAGACGGACAGACGGACAGACGGACATGGCTAGATCGACTCGGCTAGTGATCCTGATCAAGAATATATATACTTTATGGGGTCGGAAACGCTTCCTTCTGCCTGTTACATACTTTCCGACGAATCTAGTATACCCTTTTACTCTACGAGTAACGGGTATAATAATAAGATTAACTGGTCGAACATAAGAAAATTAAAAACACATAAAGACTTAAATTATTTTTTTAATGCAACAATACTTTTGTCAATAATTGTATTAATTGCTTACATTATTTTAAAACACAATGTGAGGATGCGTGAAACACACCCTCCACATTTCGCCATTTCTATTCTTTCTGCCACGAAGGCATACAATTGGAGATTACGTCACGAAGGCCATTTATTTATAAGTTATAATATATAATATAATTATAATATAAGTCGTTACGCCACGAAGGCAATTTATTTAAGTTCAAACTAGAAGCTAAGCCTATCCGATTTAAATATTGCGCGCACCAGGGCTGGAAAACCACCCAGTGTTGGTCGACCGAGGGCCAACAGCTGATAGTGCCGATAGCGATAGGCGGGAGGTTCGATAAGAAACTGTGTTGGGAAACTAAGAAACCCGGCAAGCCGGGCTTACATGCGGCCGCAAGGGCGGAAGCTCGCTCTCATTCTCGAATGGCAGCCAAGGCGATCAGACCTAGGAGCGGACTACAACCCGGAGTGGTACAGCGGCACGAGCGTCGGCACGCCGGATCCAAGGAGTAAGTGGGAGGGACAATAGCGGTCAGACTGAGTGCGAGTAGGGGTAGTAGTAGTAGTAGTACTAGCGCATAATAAAGACAAGCGAGAATGAAGAAATATGTGTCCGTGTGAATTTGTGCATTTTTCGGGAACCCACGTGCAGTGATTTGTGCCGGTCGGGAATCGTGTTGCGCCAGAGCTGCTTACTCAGTGCAAACGACCACCCGATCGCCCACAAGGAGCATAGGAAAGGATCGCCTCTGGCCACCCTCTCCTGGGAACCCCGCCCCAATTACGGTTTAGGTAGGCGCGAGCCACGTGCAGTGATTTGTGCCGGTCGGGAATCGTGTTGCGCCAGAGCTGCTTACTCAGTGCAAACGACCACCCGATCGCCCACAAGGAGCATAGGAAAGGATCGCCTCTGGCCACCCTCTCCTGGGAACCCCGCCCCAATTACGGTTTAGGGAGGCGCGAGCCACGTGCAGTGATTTGTGCCGGTCGGGAATCGTGTTGCGCCAGAGCTGCTTACTCAGTGCAAACGACCACCCGATCGCCCACAAGGAGCATAGGAAAGGATCGCATCTGGCCACCCTCTCCTGGGAACCCCGCCCCAAATACGGTTTAGGTAGTCGCGAGCCACGTGCAGTGATCTGTGCCGGTCGGGAATCGGGTTGCGACAGAGAAGCTTACTCAGTGCAAACGACCACTCGATCGACCACAGGGAGCACAGGGAAGGGTCGCCTCCGGCCATCCTCCCCTCGGATCCCTACCCCCCTACCCCCTACCCCAGTAGCTTGTGAGTCGCACATCCAGGGGGAACGGCCACGCCGTCCAGTTTTGTTGGTATTTTCTCAGGGATCGGCTACGCCGCTCGTTTCGTTAGTATTTTCGCCGGGAGCAGCCCCGCCCTCTCCTATACCTTTCGGGTGCCGTGTTGCGCTAGAGCTGCCTACTCGGTGCAACGCGGATACTCTGGCCTCCTTTCCCCACAAATCCCCGCGGCAACTCCCCGTCCAGTTTCGTCCCAACTCTTTTCTACAAATTTAACTGTGGAGGACCCTGGCCGGACTGAGTTTTATCCCAGCCCATGAAAAAGGTCCTTACAGTTTGGCGCCCGAGCAGGGACGAATAAGGACGACTAGATATCCTTTAGGAGAGTTGCGTTTTTACCACCAACCGCAAGGCCTAAAGACCCATGTCCAGTAGATGAGATTTAGGGAAAGATATGAGACCACAGGAATAGTTAGAGTAGGGGATCCCGTAACGCTACGCCCGCCAACGCCAACCCACTGCCGGAGCGCCACATAGCCACGTGGCCTCCCACGAAGCCGTCAAGCGCATACCGCGCCCCGAGCAGCGCCCACAGAGCGGCCCAGTAGCGCCCAACGAGCGCCCAGCGAGCGGCGTCAGTGCACCACCAGCGGCACCCACCCACGTGCCCACCAGGAGCACGCACAGCGCGACCACCGCGCCCTCAGCAGCGTCACCCGCGCCGCCAGCCGCGTTATCAGCAGCGCAGACCCAGCAGCGTCCCGCGCCGTGCAGTGCCACCCACGTGGCCATCAGGTGCCCACAGAGCGCCACCAGCAGCGCCAACCGCGCCGGACGAGTGGTCACCAGCCACACAACGAGCGTCACCAGGAGCTCGCAACGAGCGGCCCCGCGCCCTCAGCAGCGTTCAGCGCCCATCGGGAGGCGTCATTTGCACCACCAGCAGCACCCACCGAGCGCCACCAGCAGCGACCTCAGCGGCATCCGCGCCCAACGCACAGCCCTATGAGCGGCTACCACCGAGCGCCATCAAGCTGGGCAACAGCAGTGCCAACCGAGCGCTCACCACACCGATCAGCGCTGCCGCGCGTCAGTCGCGCCACGGGAAGCGCCCAACCACGTGTTCATCAGGAGCGCCCAACGATCAGCGCCGCCGCTCACCAGCCGCGCTCACCGAGCGCCATTCGGAGCGCCAGCCTCAGCAGCGCCCACCGAGCGGCTTCCGCGCCCTCAGTAGCGTTCAGCGCCCATCAGCAGCGCCCATCGAGCGGCGTTAGTGCCCAACAGGCGCCCTCAGCAGCGCCAACCGAGCGCCAATCACCGCGCCCACAGCAGCGCCGCCGCTCACCAGCCGCACTCACCGAGCGCCAACGGGAGCGCCAGCCGCAACCACATCGGTCAGCCACTGCCTCACGTAAGCAGCACCTGCCGTGCGCCCGCCGCATCACGCCCCTGGTAGCGCCCAGCGCCCAGTCACGCCACTAGGAGCGCTCACCGAGTGATCCCCAGCAGAGCCATCGGCAGCGCCACCGCGCGTATGCCCAGTGACTCGGGAAAGAAAACGTCAGAGGACGCAGAATCAAAGCCAGATCCGGCAGCTGCCGGACTGGAAGAGGACAGGTTTTTCACCGCATCCGGGGGTGATTCCACGACCGCAAACATGGGGGTCAGGTGGATCGCCTACCGCCGGAAGGACGAGCTGCAGGCTCTACTAAAAGAGTTTGGACTTGACCCGAACGGCCAAGTGGACGAACTACGACCACGATTGGTATCCTTCATCGGAGGAGGAGACCACAGCCCGGCTCTACGAGAACGCTTTGCCGCACTGGAGGCAATATACTCGGAAGCACCCACCACGAGGACGTCCACCAGTCCACCTCACCGATGCCCGGAATCGAGGATCACACGTTTTCCGTGCCCTGCTTAGGGAACCTACGGAAAAGCCCTGGACGGGAGATACCGGCCGCCAACCCAGCCGCCCATCTTCCGCACAGCTCCATATCCGCGGCCGTGTTCGCCGAGAAACTGCGAGGATGGGGCGTACTTTTTGACGGACAGTCAGACCCCGTTCATTTTATAGAACGCATCGAGGAAGGTGCCACTGCCTACAATGTGAGAACGAGTGACATACCGAGGGCCGTCATTGGACTTCTCTCAGGCCGCGCCGAAGGCTGGTACCGGGCATACCAAATGCACACCGAGCCATGGGAAACTTTCCGGAGAGAGTTTCTGGAGTTTTCTTGCCTCCGCGGTACTACCAGAGCCTAGAAGATGCCATCCGGACCAGGCAACAACAAGTGGGCGAGCCCTTCAAAATATACGTAGTGGAATTACGCCTGATGATGCAACGCGCCAAGTACTCACTAGGCCAGGAGCTCGAGCGGATCTACGAGAATTTGATGCCGGAGTACCAGCTTTTCATACGGCGACATGAGTTCTCCTCACTAGAGGGGCTTACCCAACTGGCAACTGCGTTCGAAATCGCACGGGATCGAGACCCCGTTCGACATGCAGCCCTAATTCCAACCGCAAGCTGGAATTCCGGCAGGGAGAGCAGCGGAAGACCCACACCTCGACTCCAGAACTTTCTCGCTCCAACGCCCTCTGGACCCAGGAGGCCGGCGATATCCAACGGGATGATCGTCCAGGAAGCGGAACCACCGGTTGACGTCGGCCGAGCTTGTCACCGCTGCGGAGAAATTGGACACTTCACACGAGAATGCCGAAACCCACCGCTGATGTACTGCTGGGACTGTGGGAAACGAAGCATCCGTACCATCGACTGCTGCCGCCGGACGGAAAACGGCCAGGGTCGCCGCCCACGTCGGGAGCCCGCGGTGACCCACTCGGTGCTCCCCCATCACTAGATTCCCCACTTCGCCTGGCGGGGGGGCGAATTGTTGCCAATGTTACCATCGAGGGACAACCTTTCTCGGCAACAATTGACACAGGAGCCTCGCGAAGCTTTGTCAGCGAAGCGATCGCCAAGCGCAGACTCAGGAAGAAACAGCAGAGAAGTCCGCTCCCGCATCTCTCTGGCGGATGGATCCCAGAAAGAGGTGACCAAGGCCCTCCGGGCGCAAGTCGGCTTAAACGACCGACAGATCGGGCTGACGCTACTAGTCCTGCCAACGATCCTGGATGAAGTGATTTTGGGCATCGACTTTCTTGCGCCATCAGCGCAACTCTAATCTGCGGGCAAGTCTGCTTGCAACTAGCCCCACCTGCCACCCGGAAGGTAGAACCAACCCCAGATACGCGGGCGACTCCTACGGCCGCAACCGCGCAATCCCCAAGCACACCCGGTACGCCGCAATCATCGCAAGGCACTGAGGGGGGGACCAAAACAGTTCCAAAGCCTGCTCCGAGGACTCACATAAAGCCAAACGCGCCAGTGCGGAAGACAAGTCCTGACCCCTCGGGACCCCCGTTGTCAAGGAACCCGTCAGGCGACACCGCGGGAACCTGCATCACCACGGAAAACAGGTACGGCCTACAACCGCAGGCGGACGCCGCCACGGCAAAGGAGAAGAACCCGTTTCGACGCCCTCCACGAGCGCCCTGTTGGCCACCACAACGGTGGAAACTCACACGCGCAAACCAGCCACCTCACCTGGGCCTGGGGAACCACAACGGAAAATCGGTGTATATCAGCTGCCAGCCCAGTCGGACGCAGCCACCGCACGGAAGCACAACCCGTTCCGGAGCCACTGTCCCCACGGACACCTGGCCACTGTAGCGGAGGACCCAACCAGGCTACAGGTGACCGAAGAACCTCACGCCGAGGAAACCGCCCACTTTCTGCAGGAGGAGCTACAGCTTTTCAACGAGCTAAGCGGGCCAACGGAGATCGCCGAGCATACCATCACTCTCCGGGAGAATAAGCCACTAAAGCAGCGGTACTATCCAAAGAACCCCGCCATGCAGAGATAATCAATCAGCAGTTGGACGAGCTATTACGAGACGACCGAATCGAGCCCTCCCGTAGCCCGCACAGTGCCCCGCTGGTGCTCGTGCGGAAGAAGACAGGGGATATGCGGATGTGCGTCGACTATCGACAACTCAACGCACATTCCATACCCGATGCGTACCCACTCCCACGAATCAACCACATATTGGAGCGGCTACGGAACGCCCGGTTCATCTCAACGCTGGATCTTAAGAATGGATACTGGCAGATCCCTATGGCGGAAGGAAGCCGCGAATGCACGGCTTTTACCGTCCCTGGGCGTGGACTCTTCCACTGGAAGTCAAGTGGAGCTGGGAGGAGCCCCAACAGCAGGCATTCGAGACACTCAAAGCAAGACTAACGGCCGCACCGGTACTGGCCTGCCCAAATTTTGAATACAAGTTCCAGCTTCAGACGGATGCAAGTGATACAGGACTTGGAGCAGTCCTCACTCAGAGCATCGATGGAGAGGAGAAGGTCATCGCCTACGTAAGTCGACGCCTCGAGCGAGCCGAGGAAAACTACTCCACTACCGAAAAGGAGTGCCTCGCCATAGTTTGGGCCACGCGGAAGCTACGCTGCTACTTGGAGGGCTACCAGTTTGACGTGATTACGGATCACCTCGCTCTCAAGTGGTTGAACTCGATTGAAAACCCCACGGGCCGTATAGCCCGGTGGGCTCTGGAGCTGCAACAATACCAGCTTACCGTCCTCTATCGGAAGGGCAAATACAACGTTGTCGCCGACGCCCTCTCCCGACAACCCCTAGGGATGCTTCAGCTGCTCGCGGAACACGGAACTCAGTGCAAATGGATCCGGAGGATGCAAGAAGAAGTTCAGAGGCGCCCCGAAAAGTTTCCGGATTACCCTCTGGATCACGGACAGCTGTATCGACACATCGGACACACCTCAGACGTGGGAAACAGCAACCCATGGAAGCTTTGCGTGCCTCGGGAGCAGAGACAACGAGTGCTGGAGGAATGCCACGACCACCCTTCTGCTGGTCACCTGGGCATCCGGAAGACTCGCGGATTGCCCAACGATATTTCTGGCCGGGATTACATCGAGACGTTGTGCGGTACGTCACCAGCTGCTTGGTTTGCCAACAATACAAGGTGAGTCAACGCAAACCGGCGGGCAAAATGCTCACCCGCCATCCCACGGAGCCATTTGCGCTCGTCGGAGCCGACTTCGTTGGACCTCTTCCTCGGACCCGACGAGGGAATACCATGCTGCTCGTATTTATAGATGTCTTTTCCAAATGGGTCGAGATCATACCCCTAAGAAGGCCACAGCCGCCCAACTGGAGTTTGGATTTCGGGAAAGGATAATATCCCGCTTTGGAGCACCCAGGACTTTGATCTGCGACAACGGCACGCAGTTCACCAGCCGCGGTTTCAAGACATTCTGTCGCACTAACGGCATCAAACTGGAATACACAGCTCCCTATTCCCCGCAGCAGAACCCCACCGAACGGGCAAACCGGACCATCAAGACAATGATAGCTCAGTACGTGGACCAGGATCACAGGACATGGGATCAGCTACTGCCAGAGATCTCGCTGGCCATAAACACGAGCATCTCAGATAGCACCGGTTTCAGCCCCGCCTATCTGGTGCAGTGTAGGGAACCCAGATTGCCAGGGGCCCTCTTTGATGTGGTCACGCGTGGTCTACACTCGTCGCCGTTGGACCCCACTGAGCGAGCTAAACGACTTCAGGAAGCTTTCCGCACTGCGCTGGAAACCAACCAGATGGCTTCTCAGGAACAAGGCCGCCACTACAATTTGCGACGTCGCGAGTGGAGACCTCAGCTCGGATCACAGGTTATGGTCCGCCTCCACCACCTGTCAAAGGCCAGCGAAGGCTTTAACGCGAAGCTTGCTCCTAAGTACTCGGGGCCATTTAAGGTGCTGAAGTTCCTCTCCCCGAATATCGTCAGAATACAACATATGAAAAACAGAAAGAGGCGAACAGCAGGAGTAGGCGACCTGAAGGAGTACCACCAACGCAGTGACCAACTAGGGGACCCGGAAGAAGCCACCGGAGAGAGCGCGTTCCCAACATAAGGGAGTCGACGAATGTACCCAAAGCATCGTAGTAATAACTTTAGTAGAAAACTAGGTTAAGCTGAGAGTTGTACCCACTAGATAAGTCGATCCTCGCACTCAGGCAGGGCCAGTAAGGAACGTAGGCCTAGGCTAATATTCTAGCAATTTACAGATCGGAACTACAACAACAGGATGGAGCCTTTCTACCCATACTTCGTCGCAGGGGTCTACCAACCGGTCGACCACCGTGACTCGGACACGGATACCAACGACGGCGCACCCCCCAGCCGGGACTCGGTCCTGTCAGACCGGAGCCCCACACCACCCAGCTTCAGCCCAATCCTCAGCCTCCAGTCACGCGAAGGTCGTAACGGCGACTCCATCTCCACCGTGCCGTGGTCGCCGGACGCAAGCATCGCAGTTAGCGGCGAGCCACCTGCGGCGTTTGCAGTTGGAGCATCGGGGGACGAGGACGACGACCCGACAGCACCCACGGTGGCCCGTTTGGCACGGCTGCAGGTCTTCGAATCCGGCGAACCGGGGACGGCAACAGTTCACCGTTCGGTGGATGCTTGGATCCAGAGCCAGGAGCGCCACGCGTTCGCACCCGGCTACCTTGAGCAATGCCGGCGGGAAGCCGAACGATGCCCCTCGGGAAGCCCGATGTCTTCCGATGACTCCTCCGTGGCGATGGACGGTCGCTTTGGAGACGGGCAACTTCGCGCGCCCCAACAGCCGGTCATCGACGAAGCTAACCGGGCCTGGGAGGACTACGGCGGCTACGTCAACCCAGAGCCTGGGGAAGCCGACGCTGGGAGGAGACTCAGCTCCGGGCACGGTTCCGACGAAGCCAACGAGGAGGAGGACGAAGCCAACGAGGAGGAGGACGCCGCCAACGAGGAGGACGCAGGACCCGCTGCTGGCCAGGACCCAGGAGTCGGAGAAACGCTCCCCAGGGTTTCGTAGACCCGCCACCGCCGGCCCTACCAGAGGCATCGCCCGGATCACCACCAGAGCGGCCCCCGAGGGCATCTCCCAGAACGCCGCGACAGACGTCACCCCCAGGAGGTGGAAGCCACTATACCAGTCCGCTACCACGAACGCCCGGACGTTTGCAAAGCTCCCCAAGAACCCCGGAAGGGATGTTTCGACCGCACAGCCAGCGATCGCCGCACCCAATATCGCCGGGCCTGAGCACCTCTGCGCGCTCCGTACCGCAAACTCCCGGCCGCACGATCACACCAAGCGAGCTGGGCTGGGAACCGGACCTGAAATTGTTCCTTAGCAGGGAAAAGGAGGATGAGGTCCTGCAAGCCCTCCGTGAGTGTCCGGACGCTGGACAAGTTATGGAGGAGGGTAGACACCCACCAGCGACGACTGCCTACAGCCCTAGTCGCATCCATCCAGGAGCAGGATCGACGGAGGGTGCGCTACCTGCGCCAGATCGTGGGTCATCGGTTCCGAGTCACTATCACCGCCGGGCGGGAAGTGATCGTTTCCCTCCGCCATAATCACGCCGAAGAAAGGGGGGGGGGGGTGTGAGGATGCGTGAAACACACTCTCCACATTTCGCCATTTCTATTCTTTCTGCCACGAAGGCATGCAATTGGAGATTACGCCACGAAGGCCATTTATTTATAAGTTATAATATATAATATAATTATAATATAAGTCGTTACGCCACGAAGGCAATTTATTTAAGTTCAAACTAGAAGCTAAGCCTATCCGATTTAAATATTGCGCGCACCAGGGCTGGAAAACCACCCAGTGTTGGGTGATAGCTGATAGTGCCGATAGCGATAGGCGGGAGGTTCGATAAGAAACTGTGTTGGGAAACGAAGAAACCCGGCAAGCCGGGCTTACATGCGGCCGCAAGGGCGGAAGCTCGCTCTCATTCTCGAATGGCAGCCAAGGCGATCAGACCTAGGAGCGGACTAGAACCCGGAGTGGTACAGCGGCACGAGCGTCGGCACGCCGGATCCAAGGAGTAAGTGGGAGGGACAATAGCGGTCAGACTGAGTGCGAGTAGGGGTAGTAGTAGTAGTAGTACTAGCGCATAATAAAGACAAGCGAGAATGAAGAAATATGTGTCCGTGTGAATTTGTGCATTTTTCGGGAACCCACGTGCAGTGATTTGTGCCGGTCGGGAATCGTGTTGCGCCAGAGCTGCTTACTCAGTGCAAACGACCACCCGATCGCCCACAAGGAGCATAGGAAAGGATCGCCTCTGGCCACCCTCTCCTGGGAACCCCGCCCCAATTACGGTTTAGGTAGGCGCGAGCCACGTGCAGTGATTTGTGCCGGTCGGGAATCGTGTTGCGCCAGAGCTGCTTACTCAGTGCAAACGACCACCCGATCGCCCACAAGGAGCATAGGAAAGGATCGCATCTGGCCACCCTCTCCTGGGAACCCCGCCCCAAATACGGTTTAGGTAGTCGCGAGCCACGTGCAGTGATCTGTGCCGGTCGGGAATCGGGTTGCGCCAGAGAAGCTTACTCAGTGCAAACGACCACTCGATCGACCACAGGGAGCACAGGGAAGGGTCGCCTCCGGCCATCCTCCCCTCGGATCCCTACCCCCCTACCCCCTACCCCAGTAGCTTGTGAGTCGCACATCCAGGGGGAACGGCCACGCCGTCCAGTTTTGTTGGTATTTTCTCAGGGATCGGCTACGCCGCTCGTTTCGTTAGTATTTTCGCCGGGAGCAGCCCCGCCCTCTCCTATACCTTTCGGGTGCCGTGTTGCGCTAGAGCTGCCTACTCGGTGCAACGCGGATACTCTGGCCTCCTTTCCCCACAAATCCCCGCGGCAACTCCCCGTCCAGTTTCGTCCCAACTCTTTTCTACAAATTTAACTGTGGAGGACCCTGGCCGGACTGAGTTTTATCCCAGCCCATGAAAAAGGTCCTTACAACAAGAAAATTAAAATTCAGCTCAATAACAATAGAATTCAGGAGAATTCTTATCTAAAAGGGGGAGAAGTTACGTACAACCCCACTTCACCTCCCACATATGTCCAAAACCCAATTTCTTCTTTACCACCTCTTCATAATAAAGTACAAGAATTGCTTAACTCATTAAATGCTAAATAAACAATATATTAAAGTAATACAGCAAACAGGAAATGCACAGGTTAACGATCTGGCACATGCCAACCAAAATAAGTTCTAGGAAAATATAAAATCCAAATAAGCAATATAACACAGTAAACAGGAAATGCATAGTTCATCGATCGTTATTAAATTCAGGCTAACTAGAGGTCAACGATCTTACACATGTCGACCAGAATAATTCGTAAGAAAACCTAATAAGCACTTCTGTAAACCTAAATTAAGTTTTCTTTAAAACATTATCAATAAAGAATATTCAGTTGATTTTTGCCCACCAAACCCGCTTGACGTGTTTTACTTACAAATAATTTATTTTTTTAAAAACTTCGCAACTCCTTAAACAAAATTCGTGGGCCGCCGGTATGTCTGCTGCGGTGGCTGCTGCTGCGGTGGTGGCTGCTGCTGTGGTGGCTGCTGCTGCGGTGGTGGCTGCTGCTGCGGTGGCGGCTGCTGCTGTGGTGGCTGCTGCTGCGGTGGCTGCTGCTGCGGTGGTGGCTGCTGCTGCGGTGGTTGCTGCTGCTGTGGTGGCTGCTGCTGCGGTAGTGGCTGCTGCTGCGGTGGCGGCTGCTGCTGCGGTGGCTGCTGCTGCGGTGGTGGCTGCTGCTGCGGTGGCTGCTGCTGCTGCGGTGGCTGCTGCTCGTGCCTCGGCGTGGGCGGTCGTGCTGGCGTCCACTGTGGTGACCCCTCGTACAGCGGTGTGGGCGGGATTTCGGGCAGCCACCGCGGAGGCGAGGGCGCCCAATCGTCTGCCACTTCTTGCGGCGGGGTGCAGGGTTCGGGCGCATACCTCGGCGTAGGTGGGTACCCCGGGTTTTCCCACAGCTGCGTCTCCTCCTCCTCGGCCATCCGTAGTTGGGCCTGCCACTCCGGCGACTCCTCCATCTCCTTCAGCCGCCGCTCCTCGTTTCGCCTTCGCGCCTCGCACTTGCGCCGGAACTCCCACGTAGCCGCTACCACAGCCTCGGTAGGCTAACGGGAGCCGGCTGGTCCTGGGGCGGTTCTTCACTGGCCCACTCCACCTGCGCCGCGCCAGTCGGGATGCGTCCGTCGGCCCGGTTGAACGCCTTGCGAAGCCGCCATCGCCGTTGCTCCACCCGCGGGTCCTCCACCAACTCGACGTCGCTGTCGGAGCTGATCACCGGATCGGGGACGCCCCGCCCGGAGATCCGCCGCGAGGTTCGGGTAGGCCGGGCTGCCGACCATCCTTGCCCCGGGCTAGATCCTCCGGACGGCTGGTGGGCAGCCATCATCCTGCGCGCTTCGCTCCTCGTCACACGTGTGCTCATGATGCTCGTTGATTTTTGATTGTGCAGCTGGAGCCTGGGCTCCCTTTAACGACACCTCGGTTCCGAGCCTTCCTCTTTGCTCAATTCCGCTATTTCCATCGGCCTCTCCTTCTTACTACCCAGATCTACGGTACAGCTCTCTGCTCTGTGCCGTCTTCCCCCTTCCTTCGGCAGACTTTTGATGCGTGTTTTTTCTTTTCCTCCGATCAGTCCCAATCGAGACCTTAGACGCTCTGGTTCGCTCCCTTTGTGTTCTTAACGTTCTCCTGATGTCCTTTATGTGTTTCATTGCGCCTTTGTAGATGCCCTGTAGTATCCTTGGAGGTATCCTTGGAATTTGTTCGTAGTATCCTTTGGGAATCCTTGCAGGTATCCTTGGACTCTTTCCGTAGTACCCTTTGGGAATCCTTGGACGTATCCTTTGACTCCTTTCGTAGTATCCTTTGGGCATCCTTGGAGGTATCCTTGGAATCCTTTCGTAGTATCCTTTGGGCATCCTTGGAGGTATCCTTGGACTCCTTTCGTAGTATCCTTTGGTCATCCTTGGAGGTATCCTTGGACTTTTAATGTTGTTTTGCATCTGTTGGCTAGCTCAGTCGGTAGAGCATGAGACTCTTAATCTCAGGGTCGTGGGTTCGGGCCCCACGTTGGGCGCCAGATGTAACGAACTGATTTTTATGGTCTGCTCGCTACGAGATTCGTGCGGCTAGCTCAGTATATTGTGTGTTCGTCCCACCAAATTTATATTAACGTGACCGCCCAGTAGTTCAGTGAGAAAGCATAGAATTCACGGGTTCGTATTGGGTTTTATTGCGGGTATATTATTACAAGTGTCTTAGTCGCTTGGTTGGCCTTAACTCGTTGCTTGTGACCCTCGGTGCTTCCGACGGCCCTGATTGACTCGACGACCTCTCGCCTTGACGACTCGGTGCTCCAGTCCTGTAGCTCCCTGAAGATACTCGCAGCTCCCTGAAGATCCTCGCCGCTCCCTGAAGATCCTCGCAGCTCCCTGAAGACGCTCGCTCGCTGCTCACTTGTCACGCGTGACTTGGTGACTGCTGGTAACGACTCGGAATCGCGAGGGGTATCGGCCGTACGGGCTTAGGGAAGCGTCACCGCTCTCAGACTAGGGTGAACAGAAGCTGCGCTCTCCAGGATCGCTCCTTTCGACACACCGCCGCCTGTCCCTTGCTCTGTCCCGGATGGTCCCACTGGGGTTTCTGCTCAGCCCGCGCGGACAGTCAAGGCGGAACGCCGGAAGCTGCCTCGCGCCTTACTTCGCTTCCACGCCTAGTGTAAACGAACGTTCCACCCTAGCCTCACCCTTTTGCCTTTTGTCCGGGACGTTTCCGTGTGGCTTTTGGTACTCGGGGTTCGGGCACGCCCCTCCGGGACCTCGCAAGTCGAATCCGTAGGGCTCTCCTGGATAATTCCACTCGAGACCGTACCGATCGACCGCTCTCCCTTCTGGCTTGTTATACTCGTGGTTCGGGCACGCCGCTCCGGGACCTCGCAAGTCGAATCCGTAGGGCTCTCCTAGGCAATTCCACTCGAGCCCTTACCGATCGACCG